ATCTGAGCACACGGGCCTACAGCATTTACGCCTCCATCGGAAGTGCAGCCGCCGCAGCCTGGATTCGATCCCGCGACCTGCGGGTCATCAGCCGAGTACCTTAGCCACTAGACCACCGCGGAGGGGCCCAAGTTGTTGCTATCGCATTCCTTGCTTCGCCCTTGCGGCGAAACTGTTACTTTTTTCTTCTCCTCCTTTCGCGCGACAGCGGTTAGTGACACCGGCGACGGCAGACAGGGTTCGGCACTCTTGTTGTGGTTCCATAACAGTTTTCGCTGTAAAAAAAGAAAATAGAGTAGTCAACGTCATGCCTTGCACTTATGAACGGACGCAACTTCTTGCCCTCTTATGATTAGTCCCTGCCCCCTTCTGCGTAGTTATCAGAAGCCTCGATGGTACGCAATGAGTGAGAAAGCGCTGAAAGAGTGAACCCTTGTAACTCCAGTTGTACAAGACGAATCCTAAAAATGTTTGTGGCAGTCAATTTGTGAAACCACGTAAAAATAACTGGCACATCCTCCCTCAATTTAGTTCCGCTCTATTCCAACTGCATTGTAGCTTAATGTACACGCTACAAAGCTGCCATCTCATTTTTCGAGAAAGCTGGAGCTGAAGGAATCTATCAGAATATATTTGTCCAAACTTATTATTTCACTGTACGTCCGCCATAAGGTTAGTTTTGCGGTTTTAGCATTTGCTTCACCTTCACACAATCCCATCAAGTGATGCAAGTAAATCAGCACAGTCAACGAAAGCTCCCAATGTATAAGCCGTACTGCCACTCGATAAGGAACTTACGAGTACACCCTTGAACGGCGATCATACAACTAGAAATCAGCACGAAATTATATCTCATTTGGGCACTTACATCTTTGCAAGCAGCGTTTAGATTTCATTTTAAATTTTAGAAAGAGAATGAACAGCTCTCACTTCAATAACATTTTGTATAGGCGAAGCGCAGCCGCTGAGCGAAGCATAGAGATCCAGCCAAAAGGACGCTCCCACCCACACGTTTTTGGGCAGGGGTTTAACTTAAAGGTGTGCACGAGTTGCCGCTGGTAAGATAATTCTGTCTGTGAGAAAGGTAATGGCAGAAAAACTGGCGCAAATCTTTCAGGACCGCCGAAACGCACCTCATGTCGATGCTGACCGACAGGCAAGAGTCCGTTACACCGTATGCGCGGTGACCGGCCATGGGCAACCTATTACTGCAGCCACTATGAAAACAGCCTCTGCCTTAGAGGCAGAAGAAGCCGCTATCGCACTGGCCATCTCTGTTAAGGCAACTAATTACACCTTGTCTGATTCTAAAAGGACCCTCACGAACTTTATGATGAGCTGTGTTGGCCGATCACGGCCAACATTCTCAAAAATAACCAACGAAGCGATAAGCTAGAACTTGTGTGGGTGCCCGCTCACGCGAAGAATCCAGGGAATGAGGCGGCTCACCGTGTAGCCCGAGGTTTAATCAACCGGGACGTGGAATCTTCAGCCCTGGACTTCCCGCAGGAGGGGATCGCCACATATAACGAAATTACCGCTTATTACAGAGAGAACCGCAAAACATACGCGGCCCCACATATTGACCTCACAAGGGAACAGGATACGATCAAGAGGCAAATCAAAACAATTTCTTTTCCGAGCCCTCGTCGGCTGCAAAAGACATTCGACCACACTGCCAACATTGCGGCTGCTTTAGGGCTACCCAAAATCACAATCTTTGGGAATGTGAGAGGAACCCTCCACCAAAGACATTACTGTCAGCATCCTCCCTCGGGGAGTGGGAGCCACTCCTATCGTCGACTCATCACCGTGTTCAGGTAGAAGCAGTTACCTGGGCGGAAACGGTCGTGGCAAGCTACTGGCCACCACCCTCCGAACCTCAACGACCTTGTTGTGCTTTTAAATAAAGTTGTTTCTTTCTCTCTCTCATCCGTGCGTTTCTGTCTTTGTCTCGTGGCGGTGGCGCGGATTTCTAAGCTCCTCACGCTTTTCTTTACAACATAGTGATAGCCAAGGAGGTTTAAAATATTACTTCAACATTCTTGGTGATAGCAACACATTATGTTGTTATACGAAAGTAGGCTAGCAGTGAACACTTTTGGATTCCTTTTCGCGCAACTCAACCAAATACCCGTTTAAATACGGCCGCTCTACGGATCGCATGCAGCGGCTTGAAACGCGGCTCCCGAGTAGTCAGGACTGTCGAGATAGCGCACGCGCGCCAGCACTGCACCCTTCCCGCGACGCAACCCCACCTCCTCTCCACTTACAAGGTCACTCTACCCTTACGAAAAACGGGCGGGTCGTTTCCTCTGCTTGATGAGCAACCGATGAGTCCCCACACATGGTCCTGCCGCTATGTTTGGAAGAAGTCTGGTTCCAGAGTGTCTTAATGCAGTAGGCATTCGCCTTCAAGTGCTGCAGAGTGTAATATGCTGCCGAAGTTACATCCCCATTCCCAAAATTTTCAGGCGTGCGAAGAGTACCCTTTTAGGGGGGCAAAGGTTCGTCACAGAGACTCCCCCTTCCCCCCCCCCTTCTTATTGTCGACGTATGGGGCACTTTGCGCTTCCTCCTCAAGGTGACTAGAGGAGAATTCACGCTGCTGCCCCATTTCAAATGAAGCGCTAACATCGGCATCCTCACCCACTTTGGGGTCACATAACTTATGAAAGGCACCATTGCTTCACCTGCAACGCTTGATTCACGGCACCTGTGTGCCTAATAATTATGGTATGCCAGTAAATGGCTGATCTCGAGCAGGTGATGCTCAATTTTTATATTGCGTGTTCGTGCACTTAAACTTCAGTATTCTTCGAAGTATGCCTGGTGAAAGTTTTTTTTCTTGTTTGGTTTTAATGCACCTACGTATGGATAGACTACGCAAGCCTTTTCCAGTTTTCACCCTGACGAAAAGCGACCGCAACGCCCAAAAATGATCGATCGTGTAGGTGTAATACGCCTCCTTTCTGCGAAGTTACCCGTGCCTGCGATCACCCCGCCCGCATTTGTTCCTTTTTTCGCGTTTCTCTAACTAGAACGTAGAGTCTAGTGGTGTAGCCAAGAGAGGGGGGTGAGAGATTCAAACCTCACAGGTTTTTTTTTTTTTTCAACTTTGCTTGCGTATATATGCACGCACATACAGTCACGCCCGAACATACATAAAGTGTCGGTTGACTCTCCCCCCAAAAAGAATTCTGGCTACGCCCCTGGTAAGACTCTCTGCTCATTTCCAGTTCTAACCAGTTATCGCTACTTCGACTCTGTCACCGTCAGGTCAGGGGGGAGGAGGAGTAGTGACTTTTTTTAATGAAAAGAGAAAAGTGAGCCCCGTAACTATCTCTCCGGACGACGACACTTCAACAGTAACTCGCAAGAGATGGGGGTATGGAGGGATTAAAAGGATAGCATTAAATGGTATAAATAGAGAGAGGAAGGAGAGAGCGAGGCGCAGGGACAGCGAGCGACGGTAGTAAAGAGGAGATATGAAATATGGACACGGTCGCAGGAGTCCGAGGAAGGGGCACCACTCGGTGGAAGCTCTTGTCGGCGTCAGGAGATGGCGCAGGGCGAGCCAGTCGGCCAGAGCTGCGCTGTCGTCGGAGGTCGCGGGGGCGCAACTGGTCGGCACGAAATCCAGCGAGCAAGTGAGGTCAAGCCAACAAAAAAAGATTGTACTATTGTGCTACCGTACATTTTCATTTACATAATTGTATGCAGGTCCGTCCTCAGCTTCTCCTTTCAGGAAGTGGGAGCCTAGGCTTACTTCTTAGTTTGACTACTGCAACAGCTATGACAGCAGCTGTCGTCAAGCATAGCCCAGTAAGGTTCGAAGTGGCAGCTGTTGTTGCCAGTAACAGCCCCCAAGCGCTGCTGGCTCGGCGAGTTGGTGCACGATAAAATGACTGCTTTAGCGCAGCCAAGAAAAAGATGCTACGTGAAGGAAACATGCTGTATAGCACTCATACTGTCGTCCGTATTTTTTCCCCTTCTTGAGAGTATGGCATCTTCACGCTCAAACTGAGCTTCCCTAAAGAAATAAAATTTTATCAGTTCCCAAGGGAAGCGCCATAAGCAGCGGGGCTCAAATTTACCTCTGAAAGGGACACTAGTGTGAACCATTGACTTGGTTTAGATTGATAAACTGTACTCTGGGAACTCTCATATCGCAAGTTTCCCTTGTATTCATTATTAGCAGAGAGAATTAAGGTTGAAGTTTCACTTTAAATTTCGCGCCAAAATCTCCACACGTGACGCCACAAATTTTAAAACGTATTTTTGCGACATAGGCTCGCCGAAAGTTTCTGAAACTTCATACGTCAAGTCTATAGCCCTCACAAATAATGTACTGCACCATTTTTACAGCAAGAACGTAGGACCAAGTAGACACCGTCAAAATTTATGACGTCACGGTATCTTGTGCGGGAATCTGAAGGTGGCGTCTCCACAAGCATTTTCATAGTTGCTGTGTATCAACTTTTTTTTTTTTTCGTTTACCAAGCGTCGTCTCGCAGTAGGAGTGTTTTTGGGGGGGACCGTGAAATTCTTATACTCGAAAAACTGCTTCTACCTTTATGTTCTTTAGGTAAGCATTTTTTGTGCACTATCTTCCTGATACTTTGAAAGCTGCCAGCATTCCAGATACGAACCAAGTATTGATTTCATAGACACCTTATGTGGGTATCTATAAAGCACCACTCTTGTACTGGGAAGTCAAAGCCAACTGATAGCAGCAAAGCTAGTTTCATTGTCAGAGACTACTGCCAGATTGGAAATGGTTTCTCCAAAGGCTATGCACAGTCCTCTCCTACTGTGTTCGCTGCATCTGCACTACTATGTAGTTTCCAAGCCTCGTGCAGCAAAGCAATTAATGCAAAGCGACAAGCCTTTTCATTGCAGTCAAGCTGTTGCAGCTCTGCAGGAAACTATTCAGCCATTGAACGTAGAATAGACTCTTGTAGAAAACATTTTTTAGCGAGCAAGTAGGCTTTCACGAGTTGTAAGCATGCAACAGTTTATTCAAGAGGTTAGTGTACTTGTAACTTTGTAAACCCAACAACCACTTATCAGCGCATTGAATTAGCAATGCCCCAAACAAATGGATATTTTTAAGGGCAGCACAATCATTCACTTTTGAACCTCACTATATCTTGATCTTGCCGTACCTGTCCCAAACAGGCAAACTGAAAGAAAAAGAAAACATCAACCAAGCACTGCAAGACTGACATGCGGAACCAGTCGAATAAGTTTCACAGAATACCCAAGTCCAGAATATAGCTTTGTAACAGAACAATTGAACAAAACTTAGCGGTCTGGAGTATAGTGTCAAAAATGGAACAAGTGAATAAAACTTGGCATAGTGTCAAAAGCCCTGCACCTCTACTGTGGCCCACTAATGTTTGCCAGTATTTACAAATAATTGTTCTGGCTGTAAAGGTAGCACAGACATTTGCACATCTAGCAACGATATTCGAAAATAGTCGAAGCTTGCAAGGCACTATGCAATGCTGGAAGGCTAGGAGTTAGTTAGCAATGCAAGAAGCCAAGTGCTTACAAATGGACTACGTTTGCAAAAGCAGCACCACACAAGTGGAGTCTCATAGTAGTAGGTAACAGGTAAAAAGCTCGTATTAAGTTCATCATAAAAATAGTGACCAAACAAGGAAGACACTGTTATGGCCAAACAAACTAAAATTTACAATAAAGTAAAAAATGGTGTGGTTTAGGGATCCTATAAAAAAAAGAACAGTTGACAAAATAGCGGTTGCTCGACAACCATCCAAGACAACATGCAGAAGCGCTGTTGACCACGCATGTTTGTCCTCTTTCCTACAAAAAGTTGGCGCATTGCTTGGGTTAGTGCAACGTACAAATACGAGTGACCTTACAATAGAACTGCTATTCGAACGCTTGCGCGCATCATTATCGCGAGTTCGAATATCACCTGCTATGCCAAGATCACACGCCAAAGCCTGCTTGCAAGCCGCCAGTCAATCTGGTGCCTGTAGGGAACACGTGCAACTGTGAGTAAAAGCCATGTGCTAAAGCATGAAGTAAGTGTTAAGTAGGGCTGTTCAGGCTGCATGAGCTGTGTTCTTGTTATGCAGATGTGCTGTGCAGGATTGCCACGTGTTTTTCAAGGCACCAGACAGCTGGTAGCATATGGAATAACACAAAAAAGACAAACACCCAAACAGGTTCCCTAAAGGTGTGAAGAAAGGAGAACAGCAATAAAGCAGGTTAAAGACTTGAATGCAAGAAAAATAAATATATTACAGTTACTGACAGCATGCACAATAAAAAAAAGGGGGATTAAGTATAGTACACCAAAACACTATTAACATCTCTGATTTAAGACTTAAATAATGTACTAAAACAATTTTCTCATTACAAGAAACTCCTGCCTTGTCTCAGTATCATGTTTTTCTCATCACATTCAAAACTGTTAGAAGAACCAGCCATCTTTCAAAACTACGTCGTGGGTGTTTTCTTTCTTGAAGACATTTGAAAATTTTTATGAAAGCTTTTTGTAAAAATGGCAGTGTAGGCAAACATCCACTACAGCTTGTTCCTTAACCGCTTAGTTCACAATTTGTAAATGAACTTTCAAGAGTGCATACTGCAGTATCCAATACACACATATATTTGCACAGCTCCAATAAAAACAAAGATACTCATCAGAAAAAAAAAAAATTTGTAAAGATAGGGTTAAGCTTAGACAATGCTCATGCATCGGAAAACTAGAGCAGTCGCAAGCGTTTCACAAAACTTCTTGCGACAAAAGACAATTGTTCACCGGGGTTTCGCATCGTGCACCGGATGCTGAAGCTTGGCCACAGCACATGTCATTTGTGACATGGATAAACTATAAAAGACTTAAACTATGAATGCTCAACAACAACATAAAAGCTATTCTATTTTTATAACAAAACAACTATTACGTATATGCATAAAAACTGGGGATAAAACAATAACAACAAGACTTCAAAGCTTTGCATCATCTGGGTTAACATATTCCAGACACGATGTCTCCAATTCATGCACCTAAAGCTAGGCACGCTTTCTTGATCTTGGGCCATGGTCCCATATGGCAGTATGCTAGCATAGACTTTACTTACTACGAAACGATTTTACACCAAGTTTGGCTTTGAACAGTCTCACATGACTTCTTTTTTTTTTCTGCACTCTCATTTTACAAAATATGTTTAGATATACTTTAATAGAATGAACTTTGAGCTTGAAACTACAGGAGACCATAGAGCCTTAAGCGCGGTTGTGTCAACTTCGGACATCCCGGACTAAGTAAGCATCATTTACGCCTAGAAAGTAACTAATGTTGTCCCGATTTTCTTTCATTCAAAGCATGTAAAACATGGACGTTTAGATCTTGCTGTATTATACAAGAGTGAATCATAATACACAAAAAAAAATTTTTACAGCAATAAAAATTTAGCATAAGCCGCAGCACAGTTTTACAACATGAAGAGAGAATGTAGGCTAGAGTTCCAACACCAATTAAGAATGCAGGCAGAGTGGAAAGACCGTAGACAGTCGAAAATAAAAGGAAGTTGCCACATGGCGTTGTCGAGATGTCACACGCGCAATCTCTTGAGGAAAGCGGCAGGACCCCTTGGTGTCTTAGTTTCCAGAGACAAGCGCCATCAGGACCTTTCGATAATCGCCAGAAGTGTCACCCTGCAGAATGAAAGAATGCAGACAAGTGAGAACACGTACCTGACCGTACCCCAAACCCTACCAGGTAGCTTTCTTCCTTATGCTAAAGGTAGTTTGCATGGAGTTAAAGCTGGGCAAAGGGTGCGACAGGTATTTCATTGTCATCAGAAAAAGAAAACAATGGCTGGGATTGCCAAAAATCATAAAGAGAATGAGTTGTAACCTGGGCTGTTTTATGTGGCACGAAATCATATCCCTTAAAATGCACACTCTCTGCAATCCTTTACCAGATGTTTGATTATATCTTAGAAATAGAGCACCTTTCAATAATTTGTTCAATTGTTTCAAGACAAGTAGTATAGAATAAGCAAAAAAAAGAGCATTTTTGTATAGTTTTCAACTAAAAAAAGCTATAGAGAAAGGGTTAAGGGCTTTTTGTACTTATGACAACGGCAGTACTAGAAGCAGTGCGTGCAAGGGTAAAAGCGCCTAGTGCTACCATGTCTCTTCTAGTGAAGATTCAGTTTGAATTAAGCTTCAGCAACTTACCTTGATAGCATCTTCAAGGCTCTTGCCATAAGCTCTCTGGTACTCCTGCTTGACGATAGCCAAGTCAGTCTCACAGCGGCTTACAACAATGCGAATCAAGGTCTTGTCATCAGTTCCAGCTCCCTGCACAAGTTGATGAGCACAGCAAATAATGAAGAAGCCATAATGCCAACTGAAGCGGAAAGTGCAAATGAAAAGTACACAAACCTTCATGGCATCATGGAGTTTTTCAGCAAAGTACAGCTCTGTGTTGTAGACAGATTTCACTGAAAAAGAACAAAAAAACATTTATCTAGGTAAAAAAAAAGATGCTGGAAGAAAAGCACTAAGCACACTTATGACATTCCGAAGATGTTGCTGTGACAAAGCACAGATAGTGGCGCCACCTAACGATATGTCTTGGGAAACAACATTATGGAAAACTCTAGAGTGCACAGCTTACCAACAACCTTCAGCGCCCCTTTTATCAGTTCGTGAGCAGACATGGGCTATTTCCCCTAAACCACTGGTGAGTTGAGCCTAACCTTAGCACCTGTTGTGTGCAATGATGTCCTCTCTCATAGGACGACGGCTGGTTGCTCAAGCAGAGGTGCAACAGCCAAAATAGAATTTGGAGCAATTTTTTGAGCAGCAAAATGTTACTTTTGAAGCACTAAAATGCACAGTTGGAGCAGGTTATGGGGAAAAATCAAAAGAGACCAAATTTAGAGAAGTATAAGGCTTATAGTTAAAGAAATATATGTAGAAACCATTGACCATCATTTAAATTCTGCAGCACGGCCACTGTTATAATAAACAAAAATATTACTTGCATAACCCCACTAAACAAACAGTGATAGAGTCAACATTACAATGTGCTGCATCTGTGAAATCCTTTGACAGACTGTGAATTCAAATGTGTATCTGCCAAGCTGGTGACATTGAAATTCAAGGGATTCGTAAAACTGAGGGGTAGGGGAGGCAAAAAAAAACTGCCGCAGAAGGGCAACAGCATTGTCCTGAAGTGCTGCATATGGTTACCAGTATTTTTTTTGGTCATCAGCGATCATACTAGTATTCCCAAATAATTATGCACTGTATACCGCATGCCTGATTGAGTATGTGCAGTGCCCCGTGACTATAGTGCTTACAGCCCCGTTCGAATTATATTACGCTTTAACACAGGGCACAAGTCTACTGCAGTGAAGATAGTGTTCTGCATGGGTTAGAACAAGGCCAAGAAAATTTTGAACATCGCTATGCCCTCCCCCCCACCCCTCTTTTTTTTTTTCATGATAGGGTTAGGTTTCGGGCACAACTTCTCAGCTCACTTGCAAGGCAAGTTTTATCACCGGGTATTTATCAGCGGGATGACGCAGCTAACGCAACTTCGACAAAAAAATGTTTTACGTGCTGTTGCTATGACGACCAATGTGGTCGCCGGCAATGTCAGCGTTTGCAGCACATTGATTCTGTCCACGCGAAAAAAAAAAAAAGCGGAATGCCCTTCCATCTCTAGTCGCTAACATGCCATAGCTGTGTTTGCCAACTAGAAAGCTCACATTTCCCACGAATTGTTGGCAGCTATAGCAACGCATTTTTGTCTTGAAGTTGCGTCATCCCACCTATAGGTATCCAATGTGGTCAGCTGACCGATGGGCACATGGCATTATTGTTTGATCTGGTCGATCGTGTCTCGCGAGTGCCCTGACCTAATTGGAATATATCTTACACACTAATTTCGGGTTAGAGTCTGCGCGCTTGGATTGGTTGATGGCAGGTGATGGCAGGCTGGATTGATTGACAGGTGGCCTATGTGGCCTCTACCATAATTACTTGAATCTAATGCGCACCTTTTTTCCAGTCAAGCGAGTTCATAAATTGCATGCGCGTTACAATCGAGTACGAAAAAAAAAAAAAACTCAATACGGTCATTCTTTTGCCATCGGCATATCCAAAATGGCCGCCCCCTATGTGCGTCGGCATGGCGCGTCGGCCATTTCTGCCTATATGTTTCCCATGTGCGACACTTCGTACGTGTGCTGAGGAGTTCGTCATCTTGTAGTGCATTAGCGTCGACAGCATGGAAGGACCGACTCAAAAAACTCGAGTGCACCACGATGCCGCTTTTAAAAGAAAAGTCATCGCGTGTGTAGAAACGGACAAAAATGGGCCGCATCGGGGTCGTTCGGAGTTGCAGAAACATGCGTGCGGGAATGGCGGAAACAACAGCAGAAGATTGTCAACAGGAAAGCTTCACGCAAAGGCTTCAGTGGACCACAGCAGAGTCGGTTTCCGCAAATTGAAGAGCTGCTCGGCGAGTATGTGCTTGAGCAGCGAGCGAGCGGCACAGCGGCTCGTGACGACAGAACTGCTCCAATTGCGGGCTATACAGTTGGCCTTAGAATAGAAAAAGCGCTAATGCGGAGCCAGTTTAAAGCGAACAGGTGCTGGCTAACTAACTTTATGAAGATAAAAAGCTTTCCCTCCGAAGGCGAACGGGCATATGCGAAAAGTTTCGAGAGGAGTACAATGAAAAGCTTCACAGTCTTCAGAGGTTCGTCCTAAACTAGCGGCACAACAACGGCTATCTGCTTGGGCAAATCGGGAATGCCGATCAGACGCCTCTTTACTTGGACATGCCTAGCACCGCAACCGTCGAGAAGAAGGGGGTGAAGCAAGTTCGCGTGCTGACATCGGTCCACGGTAAAACTACAGTGACGGCAATGCTCTGTTACACGTCAGATGGGCACAAGCTTCCCCCGTACCTCATATTTAAATGGAAGACGCTGCCGAAAGGAGTCGTTTTTTCGAGTGGTGCGATCATGCGGGCCAACGAGAAAAATGGGTGCGCGTTGCAATCGATGTCTTTTTTTTTTTGTCGTCCAACCGAGTGAACGTTACAATCGAGGGCGCAGTATAATCGAGTAAATACAGTAATTCTCGCTGAAATTCGTGCAACTGAAAATTTCGAGGCTGGTCAGGCATTGTGGCACGTGGCGCAATTTTAATAATTTTTGGTGGTTCAGCACAGCTCAGCACAACGATAGGAAATTATATCAAATGGGCACAATTGGTGCAGTTGTTGCGCTCCTAATCAAGGCCACAGCCAGCTATACGGTATGACAAACTGCTGCACTGTCCGCTCTTTGCCGCATAGCATAAGCCTCTAAAGGTCTGTTGGAAATCAGGTTCACATGATTCAACTATTTGTGCCTAGTGTTTCCTGTGTCTGTTCTTGCACAAGTAAACATGCATTTCCCCAGAAACCAATCGGGTCAACCTATAAATATTTCATTCCTCACTTTAGCAGTACTTTTTATTACCTCGGTCTTTCTTATGTAAGTAAAGAATTATTGTAGCCTGAATTTGTGAGTAGATGCACTCTGCTACAAAGACATTAAAAATGCATGGTGTTTCACTAAGACTGAAGCTATCCAAGACTATTTGAAATATTTCATTACAATGAGGGTTTCATCACATTAAAGCTTGATACATTGAACTTCAGCTGTAGCTCTCCTGGCAAGCTAAGAACTAAAGAAACCTTGTCCTACAGATCAAAGTGAGTGCCATTATGATAAGACGACCATACCACACAGAATTGAACAGTGGAGCTTTTCACCGCGACTAATCACAGATCTTGCATCATGTCAAAAGAAGAAATTTTAAAGGGTCCTTGAACCACCTTTTCTGGTTTCTGAAATGCTTTGGAATGAAACTGCTTTCCAAAAATATATTACCTTAAGGACCTTTTTAGGTGCCTAGAACAACCAAACATATTCTTGGCACACTGATTACATTTATAACCCGTACTCAACTTCGGCTTAGTGCGCGGACAACTTGTAAGTGTAGCGGAGCAGTAAATTGCGTAATTATTACCTATTGGGTGGGCACAGCCAAGCATCAGCAGATGACAGTTTGCTTCTCTCGAAATAGTGCCATTATTCATCACCAAAATTCCAAATTTTACCAAACATTACTTAAACACAAAATAGCGTCAACTTACTACTTACACAATAACGACACTCCTATTGATGGGGGCTGCTTAGATTCGAAAATCTGATCTGGCTTATCTAGAACATAGCATTTCAACTTTTTTTACAATCCTTATCAATTTTTATAGAACTTGGCAATTTTAGGAATATTTGTAGGCTTATTTCAAATATTGAACCACTTTTTTCTAAGATGGGTACTTTCCAATATATCATAAATCACCATTTCTTCATTTATGGCCTAATTAACTAACCATAATCTACACAGCAATGTAAAACTGACAGAATCTATTGAAATTCTCATAGTAGGTAATCAAAATAAAAATATTGCTTCAGGCCATTTCCTGGCAAAGTTATGGGCTGTTGAACCAGATTTTAAATATACCCTCATTGATAATTGAAACAAAAGCTCTAACTTACACCATTTTCTCAAGAAAATACCATGACAAAATATACCTAACGACACATTGCATGTGTTTATCATAGAAACAAACAAGAAATTATAACCCAGGTAGAACAAAAAATAATGCAATTCCATCACACAAAAGGCCTGAAAAATCTACCCACCATTCACCCTCGATTTAAAGGGCAGGGTGCAAGGGTTTCAGTTTTTTCAATGTAGGATAATGATAGAAGTTGATGGTATTAAGCTATGAAAAGTTGCCAATAAGTGCGCAATGACGGCAGGAATATGCAGACTGTTAGCGAAAACTTGACTTTTTGGCCGATCCTCAGACTAAGTGCTCTGTCCCCCCCTTGAGACGGCTGCTGTCCACTTAGCTTTCTTTCAGCCCTCTACTGTGACAACTGGAACAAAGCCTTTGTATACTTCATTGCATAATACCGCTGCCTTGGGGCATGGCTGACTTTTAGGAAATGTCATTATGTGATGCCTTTTAGATCCTTGTGCCCTTAACTTGGAACACAGAATCCTTGATAAGGATTAGGAAGGTGCACTTGGTGCGATCATTGTCATCCATTTAATGAAAAACATGGAAATGAACAGGAGGAAGCTATGGCTGCCACCCGATCAGCATGGCAACGAGATCAAAGTGGCTGATGTAGTGGCTTTGAACACTACCCTTCTGGGCCTGCAACAATGGCAACAAGTCCTAAACATTCATTTTACAGGGCATGTGGTGGTGCTGCAAAGACAACTTAATCATCAGGCACATTCACGAAATTCAAAAAAAATAAATTGGCCATTGACTGATCGACCATATATACGAGCAGAGCTGAAAAAAACCAACCTACATAACTGCAAAAAAGTGCGATTCTAAATTCTAAAAGTAGGATATGTTGAGGCATTTGGCATTTCCGTTGTTTGTTTTTTTTTAAGTCCGTGGGTACCATTTTAAGTTTGTGGGGACAATTTAAGTCTGTGGGTACCATTGCATTGTGCCCCACCAATGAAGTGCATGGAGTTATCTTTAGAGCGTCCTTGAGTGCTCATGTCCATGCGCTTTGCAAATGACTTGGAGTTAGTTGTACTTCCCCTATGGGGCACGTTGCACCATCTTGAAGGTCATTCAAAGCGCACATGCAATAACAAGGAAGACTCACCTATCGTAAGCAGGGCTTGCCTGAAGTTGCCAGACATCTCCTTCTTGATGGCCTCCATGATATCATGGTTGGCAAAACGCACATACTCGCGGAACACCTGGCGTAGTTGGTCGTAGCTCTGGGAGGCCAGGATGGCATTGAAAGTCGACTCATCTGTGCCCCACTTGGCCACACCAGCCTGGTACAGTTTCTGTCCCGTGCGAAATATGTTGAAGGTAAGGGCATATTTCTTGGACAGTGGTTTCACTAATAATGCTAGTACAATTTGAATGACAATGGTACCACCAAGAAAATTTTCAGAATTACAGCATTTTCTAAAAGGGATACTTCATAATGTGTTCGAATTGAAAATTTGAAGGGGCTGTCACTGAGATTTTGTTCAATGATGACACTAACCAAAGGATGATGGTGGTGGCTAGCTAGTGGTGCCACCTGCCAACTTGCAAAAAAACGATCACTAGTCATAACAGTGTGTAGCTTTTTCATACATGACGCTGTACAGAGCTTGGCTGGATCATGCCGCACAGTTCCTGTTATAAAGTCGTGAGGTATTAATTACAAGATTTTTATCTGCAAATCTATTTGACTCCCATCATCAAGAACCTGAAAATGGTCAAAATTATCCCGTCATTTTTTTTTAAATTTTGAATTTTACATTCCGACGTTTTTCCCCTCCTACTTCACACCAATATGCAAGATATCTGCTGTTGTGTACACAGATAAACACTCAAGTGAATTCTGGAGCTTTACAAAATAAAACCAGAATAATTACAAGGCAACTCGGGGAACACCTTACCGGTTAAGCTATCACGTCCGATAGTTAAAAACAGAAATCACATTGCAGCGCTACACAACAATAAAGAAGGCTGTGAAAGTGGCTCTTTTATTACATCTTTATTGCCCATAGTATCTAGCTCCAATCACGGAAACGTTTCCAAAGGCATAAACAGAAATATTTTACAAGTGCAATGAACATTCACCTGTGCATCTTCTGCAGCTCTGTTGGCATCTACGGGCACTCCCTCTTGACGTGAACACTGAAAGACAAAGGAAGCTTTCAGAGAACAGCTCAAGCAGGGGTGCAACAGCCGAAAAAAAGATTTGAAGCATCAAAATGTTGCTTTTAAAGCCCAAAACCCTAAATATTAATCAGAATAGCAAAGAAGGCTTACTTACACAAAAACAAAAAGATATGTACAAACCATTCGACATCGGTCGACTCGTGCACAGAGCCCGTGAGCACTCTTATTTCAAGAAAGTCAAGTGTGCTGAAGCACCTCGCAGTGCAAAAAATCAAGAGCACATCAGGTGTTTAGCATTTGCACTGCTTGTCAAATTTTACATGCACTGCAAATGCTAATGAGAACCTTTCAAGCTTGCAGACCTCGAAATTCGGTAGATTTGCTAAGCAGAAGCGGAAGGGGGGGGGGGGGGGTGAAAAAATAAGACTGGCGCACATTTTTATTTATTCTTTCTCGGGGCCGCAGGAACGTCTTACACAGCATTGAGTAACTGCCAGCTAGTAATTTTTCAGACATCAGCAATCATTCTAGTGTTCACACGAGTAACTAAGGAACAAAATGGGGTGCGTCCCATGACAGCTAGTGCCATTAACACATTCTAAATCAAAATATGCTTTTCTGCAAAACACAAATGTAATGTGGCAAAAGAGGCTTAAAGGGCCCCTAAACCACCCAGACATCGAAATTCAGTTGTGTTGGGAGTTTTGCACGAGTGTACCACAAACACTGAGCCGTGAAAATTTTTTGAAATGGTGCCATAATAGCGGAGTTAGATGAGTTTGATTATTGAAATGTGGTGATCACTCGTTTTACTCTTTCCTTCACTACCTTCCATTGGTATCCTCTCCTAAAGCCACTTTGCCCTCTCACCGCGCATCCCTCCCCATCTCGCGCGGCATATGTAATCGCCGACACGCTGCTCGAAACACCGTCTGCTTGCAGTTGCCTTGACTCCGTCCCTCTGTAAACTACCATAAACACCCGAATGTAGGCTGGACCAAAATCTATGTGGACCCCCCGTACTTTGACTCTCTGAATAATTTTTTAAAATCGCCAAGTATCGCGGCGCACCCTTACCTTGGTAAATATGCGACAACCAGCTGCACTGTGGTGACATTTCTTCTATTTGGACACTAATATTATGTAGTTAAAACACCAGAAGGCCACAAAATGCTGTCACTCGGACTCCTCCGAACTTGAGTTCGACGACGTATGTTTGTCACTAGTAACATCCCAGAGTGTATCATCCCCCGTTCCATCTAATGCGTTACTGATGCAGCATTTGCGAAAAAACAGAAGTACGCCGGCTCAGCACAAGGCTCTTCCGCTTCATAAATCAGTGCACCCACGATGGCGATTCCTTGAATTGCACCCTCGTGAGCCCAGAGCCGCGCGCTATCTCAAAAGCTTTCACGTGGACGCACTCCGTTGTTACAAGTAACGACCTTGCATGCAGCTCCCGGACGAATTCAGCGAGTAGCATTTAGAGTTCGGGGTGCACTGCAGTCCTTCCACGAAACGATGCTTTTTGTTTTTGTTGCTGCAGGATGTGTTGCGCTGCTTTTTGCTCCTCCAGTATCGGACCCTATTCTCCAATGTACCAAATTCCCGTTGTGTCACCAAGTTGCCGTGCGCTTCGGCATACACATTTTTAATCTTAAAGCTTATCGTAAAGTGCTGTCGACTTTCACTCATTTCTGAAGGAAATAGAAAAAAGAAAACAGCAGACTGACAGCAGATAACAGAGGCGAAATTCCGTTGCTAGTACAATGTTTCACATAAAAAACAGCGCCAATAATGAGGGACACGAAAAGGAGACAAACAGCGGCACTGACTTACAACAAGATTTATTTGCTGGAATCGCACAATATATACTTGAGCAGTATCAGACAAAAAAAGGAAAATACAAATCAAAGAAAACAGCATTCACCTAACACCCGAGTCATCATCGTGATAACGTGCCATGAACAAAACGTGTGCCAACGTTCTGAAGAAAATCTAATTCTTGTTGTGATAGAGCAATCGAAGGCCTGCTGACACACGCACTGCCCATCCTTTCTTGCAGCCTCAGAAATTTTGCATATCAACTGGTCCCGATGACGCCTAATGACAGTACAATGCTGAAAGTTGGGGACACAACCGCAGTCTCTGCAATGAATGCCGAGGTGGCCCGATACTGTAGAAGAGACGTTGTGAGCGTGCTCTTTCAGCCACTCATTTAAGCACCTGCCTGTTTGGCCGATGTACCACTTGCCGCAGAACAGGGGTAGAGAGTACACCACCCCTTTGACGCATGGAACGTACTTCTTGCGATGCTTGATTTTGCAGCCTCGCTCTCCCCTGGAACCAGGATTCACGGCCTTGCACAACCTAGCCAGCTTTCCTGGGGCAGAAAAAACCAGGTGTACGTCGCACCTGCTGGCCACTTTTTTGAGGTTGTGGGTGACGCCGTGGATATAGGGAATAACGACAAAGCTTCGTTTCTCCCGTTCCTTATCCTTTGTACGGGTTTGAGCATTAATCTAAAGGGCAAGGCTAGGTAAGGCCTACAGTACAATGTATTGTAGGCCTTGCCTAGCATTGCCCAACAACGCCGCTGCTGGTGTTCACGATGGCAATGGAGGCTTTCGACTTCGGCTGCCCATCGTTGCAAGACTCCCACATTTTTTTCTGCCAATGACCAGTATATAAGACGAGGGCCGACTTTTCATTTCACTTTTTTTAAAAAAATCCTACCGATATTCTGGCTTTCACGGTACGTGCTTGTCGGTGAACCACTGCTGTCGTGCCGGCCCATGCTCATACTAACCGTGTCGGCATGGACTGTGTTTCACGCAACCTTAAAGGATCACCAACATGATGGATCCCTACGAAGACACGCTGTGCCAGGGCACCTCTGCACATGATGAGAAGCCGCCACAGCCGCCTTCCCCAGATCGTGGCAACGATATAGGTTGGTATGTACGTTTTGTTATGTTGGCCCACTCGTTGTCACCCGTCCAGTGCCAATGGCATTCACAATGCAGGTGCAGCCCGACCAACAACACAGCACGCAGGCAACAGGACGAACAACAAGCAGCGAAGATTGCTGCTTGCAGACTAACCGAAAGCTGTAAGCTCTTGCTTCACTGATCACAGCATATATGTGCTGCGACACAGATTCAACTTTTTGACGTGATGCAGAGGCCCAAAAGGCCGAGAAAAGAGGAGGGCTTTTTTAATTTGTGGCACGCCGGTGGCTCATAGCGCTGCCATGTGTAGAATCGATCGCGATAACATTCTGCACACGATTCACGTTTACTTAAAATGTTTGAAAAATATCTGAGGTAGTTTTAGGCACCCTTTACAAGGTATATTTTGCACACGATAGAACAAGGCCAGGAAACTTGAGAAACAATGTCCTTTTCTTTTGTGGTGAGGTTAGGGTTCCTTATTGGGAGATTTGTGCCCCTATCTGCCCAATTAGGAGGATTGATAAAAATTCTGGACTTTTGTGGGAAAATCAAGAGCTGCCAGGCAAGCAAATGGCCAACTTACCACATAACAAAATACAACTGCAGGAGGTTCACATTTTTTGTGCAAAGCTTCTGCTATTGATTTTCAAATGGCAAAGCGTTGCAACCAGCAAAAAAAAAGTTAAGGGGGGACGTGGCAAGTAAAACTAATTTTTTTATTAATGTACTGTTTGTGATGAAATTTGGTGTGTGTATGTGGATGATTGTGAGGATTCCAAATATGAAAACCGTTTTCAAATACCTCTTGTACTTTTTGAGTTACAAGCATAATTATACTAATTAATGCTCTTCACACTTAAAGAGATAATTATTGCTAAATGAAATTATTTTTTCATATTATTATGTTCCCAAAGCATCAACTTGTGCAAAGAAGCTATTAGTTGATTTTTCTAGTTCTTGTAACCATAAATAAAATTTTTAAAACATGGATGTTGTTTTGCGCACACATCGCAGTAATTATAAAATGTGTTCTAAAAATTTTAAATGATGAGTAAGAAGAGAGATAAAGCTTTATTGCACTGCTAAAGGCCTCCTGAGCCTAGTGCAAAAAACGGAACGACTCTATCAGTCTTTGTTAGAAAATGACAGATGTTCTAGCGAAGGCACATAGGCGAAAATCAAGAGTTGAGAAAACTGACTTTGAAAGTTCACTCTTGTTTGGAAGTTCACAACATGCCTAAAACACTCAGAATCCTCCTGGGCAGTAATCCTGAGATGCTGTGGCCTTGGCCTCTGTAGAGCGCAACCCAGTTTTGCGCTTCTTTGTCGTGGAAAAATGCGCCTTTTGAGCCCTCTTTACCCTTTTGGCATCCTTTTCGGCTGCTCGCCGCAAAGAGCAGTCTCCTGGATTGAAGCCCAGTTGAGCAGTGATCTCTTGCAGCGCACTCTTGCAGCCACCATTGAAACGGCAGACTGCATCTGCAACTGCACTTTCCACACTTCGAAGGGAGGCGAACTGGCTCTTGGACTGGAGTGACCAAATGAGGCTGTTCACACTCTCCACAGCGTTCTGGGTTTTTCCCTGCGCACACCTTTCAAGGAGCTCTTTGTTCGAGAGGCGCTTGTAGATTGGCAGCAGTGCCACTCGCACGTGAGGGGGCAGTTTATGTTTGTGAGGCGGCAGCGGCTCTCCCTTGGCCAATGCCTGATTGTGCGGGCACCAGGAGTCAGTCCCACTTGGGCACAGGTTGTGGTGTGGATCCTGGTCTGTGGATGTTACATGGTAATAAGTGGCCATGATGGCCCTCTCCATGCCAGGAACATCGTTGGGGTGGCTCTTAATGGCCCAGCCATAATAATTCGTCAACTTCTTTATCAGGCCCTGCGTCAGCCGGCCTTTGCCACCCATGCTCAGTCCTCGGCCTTTGGATTTGTGCTCATCAAGAAGGTTGCGCAAGGAAGTGCCCATTCTTTTTTTCACATGGTTCACACACTCCTGTTTCTTAATCACCATGTAGCCATACACCTTGTCTTGCGTGAGGGCAAGGTACGTACGGCTGT